GCAGAGGTAAAACATCTGCTTTGGCTCTTGAGCTGAGCTCCGTGCCAGCCACGGCAACCCAAACGCAGAGGAGATGAGCTGTGGCCTGGTCTGCGTGTTCACACATCCTTACGCCCTTGTTAAGGGAAATGACACCGTTGCCAGCCTCAGCAGTTAAACGGGTTTAATCTGCGTTTTGGACCAGGGGAATGGCAGAGACTGAAATCCGCCAAGGGGAGGCTGGCGGCAGGTGTTCCTCCCAGCACTGTGAGCTTGTGACCCTGGAAGAGAGATCAGGAGGTTTTACATGAGGGCTCAATTTCTTTAAAAGGTATCTAACACCTGTTATGCATGAGAAAGCTGGTTGAGGAGTTTCTTAGCTTTCCTGGAATGAGTATTTGTTGGCGGGACCGCCCGTGCGCTCTGTGCAGGCCCACAACGTCCGTCCCCGATTGACGGCAGGGCCTGCACACTCACATAGTTTTTGCTCCACTGTCCTGACCACCTTTACGTCACCTTTATGGCTCGAGAGATTTTGTCACCCTCTGGAGCCTGGTTTGGGCATCCACGGTGGTGGGACCTTGGGAGTGTTGCCGGTCCGGTGCAGTGCCGAGAAAAAGATGAGATTTGGGAGCGTGCGGGGCTGCGCCTGCAAAATCTGTAAAACAGAAATGCAGGCCGTGAGCCGAGCGGGAGAGACCGCGCAGAAGCGTCTTTGCTCTCGAGGTGTTAAGCTCCCCTAGGTTTGGAGGATGCATTTTTGGGCTGATTACAGTAGAAATTTCTCAGGCATTGTGTGCCACACTGTTGAGGTAATTGCCCTTTGAACGGCTTAATACCCAGTGGAAGCTCTGGAAAATGCACGTTCTTTGCTTTTTTTGCACAGTCTAGCCTGTAGCTTCTCCGTTTCCCCTGGAGCTTAGTGTGTGTCCAAGTGTGGTGTGAGCTTGAGAGCGGCCTGATCTGCCCTGACTCTTAACGGAGCAGAATGAGCCCTCCTAGCACGCGGAGATGTAAGTTCTGTGTGTCTTGGATGTGGAAAGCAGTAACTGCTGTCAGTAACAGCCTTTCGCATATCGCGGGCTGCTCTCGTAGCCCCTTGACATTTTCTTTAAGCCAAATAGTCCCCGTTAGTGCAGGCTTTCCCTTGTAAATCGTGTTTTAGAGTTCCGCTTTGGTCCTTGGTTCCTTGACATGGGTGCCCAAGTGTCTCGTAGCAACCACAGCCTGAACAGAGCAGAACGGGGACAGCTGTGCATCTTGCAAGCCCGATTCCTCTTTTAGGCTCTCTTCCTCTTCCACAATCGTGTACAGTTTCTAAACTGCACTCCCGAATTCTTTCTTATATGAAACTGCTACAGAAGCACTCTGGATTTGTTACTAGCAGAGGTGGCTGTGTTCTCTTCCATACTGTGCAGTCCACTTATCTGCTGGATATATCGTGATTTATCATGAAAATCTCAGATTTTAGCACCTCATGGCAAGATGGGCAGAGAATTACTGGAGTATTACGGCTGTGGGCAGGGTTAATGTGCCTGTTCCCTGTGCATTTCCCTCTGCACACGAGGTTGGGTTTCTCTCATGGGAGTCAAGGCTTGTGCGGTCACCAAAAAAAAACGAGTGTATTTGAATATCTACAGGAAAAGCAAGCAGGAAATGGAGCCTTTGGGGTGACTGATGTTGTTCAAGTGAGCTGCTCTGCTGAACTGCTTTTATTTTTAAATCTCTAGTGAGAAGCGATTTCGGGCCTCTAGAGAGTTGACTTGATGGCGCTCTTTCCTGCGCAATATTACTTCGATGCCAGGGCTTTTCTAGTGGGGTTGCTACTTCTTCCTTCCTGCTCCTTCAGATATGATCAGATTCTCAGATATGATCTGGAGGTATTTTAAAAAAAAAATCTTCAAATTTAAGGCCTGTGGCCAGTCTCCAAAAATCAGAATGAAGGAAAGGACATGGGGCAAACTAAATCCAATTAGTCTCTTTTCCTTTTTCATAATGATCTAAATTTAGCCTGTCCGGAGTTATTTCAGTGCCTTAGCTGATAAGTTTAACAAAGCGCAGGTCACTTGTAGGATATTTTTGCGTGCCGGATTCCAGGAACAGCAGGATGTAGCCTGTGGCTCACCTGGAAGCACGGGCGATTCCGGGGGCAGCTGATCGGCTTCCTAGTGAAGCGTGGGAGGTAGCCAGGAGCCGGGCCAGCCTCGGGGCTGTGTGGAGCCCCTTCTAAAAAATGCTAGGAATACCCATAAGAAGATAAAGTTGGCTTTGCCTCAGTGCTTTTGTTTCTGTCGTACTAGAAATACGGCAGTTTGTAGACTTGTTGGTCTGCTCAGTGTATAACGCCTGAACAAGTGCATTTGATCACTCAATGGTGCTGCCATTTTGCCATAATACATCCAGGGTACCAATGCGTCATATTCCCAGGTTTGATCCTCTCCACTGGTCTTTCAGTGCCTGAATAAATTCAGAAATTCCTTAGGAGAAGTTAAGCAGAGACCTGTGCCTCCTCCAGATGCCCTCAGTGTTCAGCAGAGGACCTGCTGTCCCAAGGCCCAGCTCCGTGATGGGACTTTGTTGTCAGAAACCCGGCACGCAGAAATCCCAGTAACTGCAACAAGTCAGTGCATGATAACGTGGTTTTGCCCCCATTGCTCTCCCAGAACGTGCGGTTGGGCTGGCTGCTGGCGCAGGGGGCAAGTGCTGGGGTGAGACCCCCTCGTGTCACAGCCATGGGGCTGTGCACAGAAGAGCGTTTCTCTAAGCTGTGTAAATACTAACACTAACTCCGTATTAAAGGAACAATCCGCTTTAATCCTCTGTGAGGAAGCAGTAAGCAAAACCACCACCACCGTGGCTTTAAGCCACCATGTGATAAACAGCCAGAGGAATCAAGTCCTGAACTAAATCTTGGAAGAGGAGTAGGCTTTGTACTGTGACGTGGGGAAAGAAATGCATGTACTTAACGTGACATTGGAGACATCCTGGTATTCCTGATTAATGGGAATATCTGCTGAAGAAAGAGCCGTCTGGGAAAACCCTGACACAATCACCGCTGCTTGGGAACCGTTCGTCTCACTTTACCTCAGTAACTTTGTGTAACACAAATACGACAATTAAAAGCTCAATATATAATTACCCTTTTCACTCACAAGAACAGATAATACTTTACTATGTGGAAATATTCTTCGAGTGAGTTGGAAGTTCTAAATGAGCCCCTAGGAGAATGTAAGGACACACAAGAGGAAGAGAGATTGTGATTTTTTTCTGGCTTTCCTGCGAAGGAAGCTAACGTGAAGCGGTCACCGTGCTTCGGTGTCACATCTCCTGCAGGCTGCTGGTGGAGGAGGACCAGCTCGCTGGCCTGGCACTCAGAGCATTCATGTAACAGCTACTTTAATAAATGTGCTGAGAAGTTCCACACTCATGAATATCATAGTAACTGCAGGCCAGGTAGCATGGAAAGCTACCAAAGTGGCTAAACGTGTTGGCTTGTATTTTCACATCCAAGTGAATCTCCCTCAGAGTTTGGAAGCTCTGGAGAGCTGAGCCAGTCCAACAGCTGATCATCTTCCCAGAGCTATGCTCTAATAATACTTAGTAAAATAAAGATTCTGCAGCAGTAATGTGTTGCTCACTTCACACCTCGTACTTTTTTAAAAGCAAAGAAGAAAAATCCTGAAATAAAGAATACATTAAATAGGATAGCTAGTTTGAAAAGAAGGCCCAGCAGTGACTCGAGCTGGATATTAGCCTGTAATGTTTCTGTCTATTCTTTCCAATTTCCAAGTTCTGAACTTTTTTCTCTGCTATTCCTTCCCCTCTCTTGCTATTAAAATAACAAAATATCTTACTAAGTAAGATATTTTAATTATTATCTTATTTATATATATTAAAAAAACTCTTGGAAAAGAGGTCTGAAAGATTTTTGCAAATGGTATGTGGCAGCTATGTGTTGTCTTGCAAAGACTGTATGGTGTATTTATTTTGCATCCTTCTGGGGGGAATGTTCTGGGGCCATGCCGTAGCACAGGGTGAGAAGGGAGCATGGCAATAAAAAGCAAGCATTCAAATAAAAGAAATAAAGTGAAACTTTTATTTTTTTCAAACATCCTGATGAATTTACATCAAGCAATGTGACAAAAGATGGTGCTTTAGGCCTTTATTGGAAGAGCAGCAAGCATGAAATTCCAGTGTGACTCTTTCTCTGAGAGTATCACTGTGTCTTAAAACAAAACCACCACCTCAGAATGTATTTTTCAGGTTTAAAGAGGAGAGTTGTCAGAGTTAAAAGATGAGAAATTCAGGTATTTCATTTTTTCCCTCTCCAATCTGAGACTTGCATACAAGCTAGTTAAATTCTGTGACTTGTGTACAGGCTAGTTAAATTCTGCAGTCATGCAAGCAGTTTTATTCAGTGTTAGTAGCCCTGCGTACGTCTCCGCTTTGGCGGAGCCTGACACCACCAAAGCCACGAGCATGACGCAGTCTTTCTCCTCTCTGCCTGATGATTTATTTATGCATTCCAATCCATAATAGCTTAATAATAGCCTCGAAACAATAAGATAATTGTTTTGCTTCTTGGGTGGTTAAAATTGACTGTGCTCATTGCATATTTATTCTGTAGAAGAGACAAGCTGTTTAGTAATTGCTCAGAAATACATTATCTGCGTAATGTTCTGTTTCTAAATATGTGTTGCATGACCATCAGTCTGTGCCAACAGCAAACAAGGCAGCACGCCGCGATATCTGATGTGATTAGTTTCTCCCTTACGTGCCAAAGGGAACACGTGGCCTCACTGGGGTGTTTTTGACCATCATTGCCGTTCCGATGGGGTTCCCTGCCTGTGCTCGTCTCAGCTTTAGGATCATCTCTACGCAGGCTGGTAGCTCTGGTTGATTTGTTGTTGGGCTCATATGTGCCGTGCCCGTTGGCAGCGTTAGTAAATGGCAGCAGAAATAATTTGCTTTCCTTTAAGGAAGCTCTAATAAAATGCTTTCTCTGCTTTGTTTTACCAGCCCCCACTGGTGCAGGCGATTTTCAGCGGCGATCCAGAAGAGGTGCGGATGCTGATCTACAAAACGGAGGATGTCAACGCCTTGGTAGGTGCCTTGGCTTGATGGCTGCGGTGGTGGCGGCGCGAGCACCGTGCTCGTGAGCTCTCACAGTGCTGCTGCTCATCGTGTCCCTGGCAGTTAACAAGCAACCAGGTGGAAGTTACTTGGCAGTTAACGATTCCTGGCTTGAATGGAAGCCCAATTAGTCATCTGAAAGAGAATTACCTTCTGCAGGTGACATGAAATTCCCTATATGTAGGATAATTGCTTCAAATGTACAGCTCAGGCTGGGACATGAAGTTTTCTTTCTCACTGGGAGTATGAATGTCTGCAGCCTAGAGCTGCATACTTTGACTCTCTGCAGAGTTTCCTTTTATGAAGAGTCTTTACCGACCAGGACCTTTTATTCAGCATTTGACAACATTTGAAATAAAACTTCATTATAGGTCTCAGCAGTGAGAGTAAAGAAACTGTATCTTGGCCATAATTTGCCCACAGAGGCATTAATGTACTTTGGCTTCTTTCTAGCTAGAACAACAGTAAGTGCCTCTAAACAAGTAATAGTTAACCATTTTAGCAGGGGGAAAAAATCGGCCTGGGCTTCTGTTTTTTCCTCTTTCCTCTTCCAGAAGCTCCCTCCTTCCTTTGCTTGGGCTTCTCCTTTTTGATTTGTACTGCTAGTAATGAACCCTTTCTTTCGGCTGGAATTTGTGGCCTCTTGAAAGTGGTGGGAATACAAAGAAAAAAAAAAAAAAAGGGTCTTTTCCAGGTGTTTCCTGGACTTCTGGCTCAATCTGCCTTTTCTTCGTGCCTTTTTGAGGCAGAAAGGCATTGGTTTACGCGCACCAGATTCCAGCCTGGGGTAGTCTTGGCGCTGCAGCTCTGCAGGCAGGGTGCCCCGACGCGTGGCTCCGAGGGGCAGACCGGAGCTGAGGACCTGGCTCCTTGCGGCTGCGCTGCCCTCCTGGCCAGGCGAAGGGCAAGGTGTCCACCTAGTGCAGAAGCTCATCACAGAAAGAAGACCTTGGCGCTGGACTTAATAAGGTTTCACACCGATTCCTGAATGTTTTCTCGACATAAATTCCTGCAACTGCTTGCTTAAAGCATCATCTCCCTCGACTTTCCACACTATTTCCTTTGGGTGGTCTTATAAAAATGTCTAGGTGAAAGTGATAGTCCTGGAGGTTCTTCTGTCTTTCATGTTGGCTCTTCCAAGTTGTATTTTCTATGCAAGGTGATTGTAGGCATCTCAAATGTCTGGATATCCTTCAGCTGCAAGGGTGGGCGCAATATTACGCGAAGAGCGTGTATTTTATACCTGAATACCATAGTACTTAGCAGAAGATACCGTTGGACTTCCACATTTTTGTCCGGAACCCAGTAAAAGTTCTTCTGAGAATTCTTTGCCTGAACAGCTATTTCATCAGGAGCAAAAAAACCCAGACTCTTGCTTGGAGTAATTAGAAAAACATCTGTCAATGCAGATTCTGGAGCTTGTCTTTCTGAACACACATAAAAGTGTCAAACGCTCAAGATGTCACTAAAGAAGTATCAGAAGGTCCTGTGTTCCCCTGTGGTGTCAGCTGGCCATTTGCACCCCTTGCCTCTGCTTCTATTTTAAGGGTACTTTTAATTACTTCCATGTTAGTGTTTCTCTAGTGCTTGGCTGCTCATGTGAGAGGAAATTCTGACACTGCTTGGCAGGGAATTGTCCTTTGTTGCTCGTTTTGATTAGCTGCGTTAATATTGAAATGGTTCAAATGTAAGCAGGGGAGGAAATAAAATACAACCCTGTTTTTACAGCATTTGGGATTTCTGAAGTTTATAGAGAATGTTTTGGATCTTGCAATGATGGAGGTATTAAAAAGGCAGAAGAAAAAGGCACATGGAGAAACTATGCAAAGTAGTAAAATACATACGTAATATCTAAGAGAAAATGCATTTCAGAGGAAAGATGTGAGAGCAAACTGGAAGCCTTTGAAAGCTACTTTTTTTGTCTGGTAAAATAATTAAGATCTTGCTAAGCCCGGAAGTGTGTGTTTATAAACAGGAGCGTGTTCTGGATGCTGCTATAATTGCACGGCCTCTTTTGCAGTGCGGTGGAAGCCGCAAGGCTCTGGCTGGCAGCGTCGGTGTCCCGTGGCGCCTGCCAGGTCACTGCGACCTCTTCCTGCCGCCGTGCCTGCGCCGAGGGCTCCCGGGCTCTGCCCTCACTCCGCAGCTTCTGGCACGTTTGGAAGTGTCGGGGTGATTGTGGTATGTCTGGGAAGATTGGGATTTCTTCCTTTTTTCCTGGCTGTTTATGCTTTGGAGGGAAGAGGAACCTCGGGCTCCACTCATGCCGCTTCTGGCCGCACCAGTTACCTGGGGTTCATGGTCTGTGCAGCTCTTCTGCCATCCTGACTGAGTGTGTAGGGTTTCAGGCCTTCTGTGAGAAATTATTGTTTTCCGTTAAAACAAAATTCCGTCTTCCCGATGTTAATTTTCATCTCAACCTTCCGATTTCCCTTTAAGAAAACGGGCAGCCAGACAAGAGAAAAGCAGAAGCCCCTTCAGCGCTCCTCCCTGGTGTCACATTTGTAGGCTGAGCCGGCCTCCTCTTCCTGGCCGCTTCCCAACATGGGAGCAGGAGCAGGGATGGTTATCGAGAGAGGCGCCGCGGTGAGGAAGGCCACGGGGAGGTCTGTTGCAGCTGCCTGCAGCTCCATAGGCTCACAGGATATATGTTCCCGTGGCGAAATTATACAGCACTTGGTTGGGATTTTCAGGAATTGAAGGAAATTAAATCCTGAAATTGCTTTGGTGGTTGGTGCTGCAGCATGAGAAAGCGCAGTTCTGCCTCGAGGCTGCCGGGGGGCTGCCGCCCCCTCAGAGTGCCCCAATATCCCACGTGTGCTGACCGGATCTGCCGGAGTCCCCGCTCCGCCAACGCGCCGTGCCCGGGGCGCCGCGCCAAGGCAGCACTTACGGACTAGCCTAACGTGCCGCCTCGGAAGGGCTTTATCTGGGATTAGTTGGACGCTCGAAGGGAGCGTTGGGCGCTTGCCGCGTTGGGGCCCTGTGCCTTGGATTGCCGGCTGTTAAACGCTTCCTTTCCTTTATTTCTACCTCTAAAAATATCTCTATAAAAAAACGGTGTACAGCTAGGGTCAGCCTGTAGCATCGTCTCTTCAGTGAGCTTAGGCAAGTCGTTAATATTGCTTTGGAGGGAAAATGTTTATCTTATCTTGGAATAGTTCTTTTAGCCATTGTTTAGCTTATCTGTTGTCTTTTACTGACCTTTTGTTCCTTTAAAAAGTGCACTTGAAGCAGGTCTGATTATTTGTCTTAATGCTATTTGTGACCCTCTTATCATTCCTTTTTTTTTCCCCCTTTCACTTCCTTTTCTTTAACTGTATGTTCAGATTTGAGGTAGACCAGATTTGCTAGACCTCTCTGTGAAGTGATGAATTCTCTTTTAATGCCTCTTTCTTTGTTCATAGCCTTCGGACTTCAGAGCATTATGGATTACTTGTTCACATTACAGTTCTACAGTCAGTTTTCTCATGGGGAGTGCAGAAATTAAGCATAAAAACTACTGCATGCCTGAAACTCCTCTTTCTCTGAGAGCTTGATTCCCATGTAATTTGATGGGCTTTACATTGCTCGCAAAAGGGAAAACTGAGAATACTTCCAGGTGGGGATTACTCTGCTAATAGCAGCATTGATACTTCAGAGTTTTTTTTTTTTTTTTTTCTGACCCCTTATTGACCGCTTTCATTTAAAATGATGCATCACAGTATAGTAGAATCATAAAAATTCCACTTCTCTGTTTCGTGTCCTTTCCTCCCTGGACTATCAAGTTTCCATCAGATTTACACAATTTAGTATAAAATATTGCTCATACTCAGGAAAAAAAAAATGCTTTGGGTAGCCTTGGTCCCTTGGTATAGGAAATTGCTTGTTCTCATATTGGTAGTGTTCTCCTCAAACTGTTCTCGGCTGTGTTGCCAGACTTAGCTGTCTTGCAAGATAATGCTACAAATCCTCTTCTGAGGCTTCTGCTCCATAAAGCACAGCAAATTTCTAAGATGGAAAGAAAAAATGGAGACTTTCTGAAGTTGTTATAATTGTTCTGCCCTGTGAGGAGGCCCTATATAGGGCCAATCTGAGGCCCTATATCCCATGTACTCCATCTTCTGAGTGTTTTATGGGCGCGCTTAATATGCAAGATCAAAGCCCAACACAGAAGAGTTGGTGTATGCTGTGTATCACAGATGTCCAAAAACCCCATACATCTAACATTAAAAAATAACTTTTTTGGACTTAGAAAGTAGGACTTTGTCCTCCTAGTACTTTCTCCAAAGATGTACCCTTCTTAGAGTCTGATGTAGTGTTGGTACAAGCTTGGATTACAAAGTCTGATATCCAGAAGGGTCTAAGTCACGTCACTGCAATGCTCCAAAATGCAGCCTCCAAAAGACACACACTTCTCAGCTGTACTCAGGCTTTGCATGAGGGGGATAACTGTGATATGACAGTCTTGATTTGTTTTGGAATGCGTTTATGTGCCTGTAAAAAGAGTATCACATCAAAGAAAGTTTCTCTGCAAGGTCTTAAAGGACTGTGTGGTAAGAAAGTTGAGGAGTTGCTTTGAAGACCTTGAATTTGTTCTTTTACTGGGTGAGGTTGCCTGTCTAATTATAAGGAGAAATACACGTAGAAAATAAAACATTGCATAAAAATGCATTGCTCTTTACCACAGTTCCTGGCCGAGTTTTATAGCTGCAGAGCTGTTGTTTTGCAGGATGCTGAGAAACGAACTCCTCTTCACGTTGCGTCTTTCCTGGGCGACGCAGACATCATTGAGCTGCTCATCCTGTCAGGTAAGGTAGTGTCTCTCACAGGTTTCCAACTGCAGAGCTATGGAGAGCACCCAGGGGCGCACATGTGGCCGGGCACAGTCTGTACCAGGGTTTCAAAGAGCTGTCCACAGTATTTTCCAGGCTAAGAAAGTATGCTTAAATTCGGTGATACAGCCAAAAACATGCACTGTGTCTGACAAGAATTAATAAACACAACATTTTGCAAACATGTAAAGCATCCAAACTGATAATATTTGTGGATTTGGAACATTCTGGAGTCCATATTTGAAATGTGGGCTCAATTCCTGGAATACAAGCCAAGAATTTATCTTAAGCAAAAAATATTATGGAATAATAGGAAAATGATTGCGTTTGAATGAAGTGTAAGTGGAATTTATGTTAGAAACATGATTTGAAGTGTCAAGAAATTGGTTTGGAGGATAGAAAGCTGCAATGCGATGTATTTAAGTGAATTAAGCAGTTTGGAAATCACTTATAGAACTGTTATTTGTAAATGTTTACATTCTCACTTAAAAAGCATTGGCACCTTTAAGTATTAGAGTAACTGCTCTGTAGGGGATGGCTGAAAAGCTCAACCCATTGGATGAGCTGGAATGAAGGAATCACAAACACAAGTAACAGCTCATATGTGTGTGCAAGGAACCTGGTAGAGATTTGTCCATAGGTCTTCAAAATACTTCTGCTGATTATTCTGTTTGTTTGTTTGTTTTCCCTCTCTTTTGGTGATATAAAGGCTGAAGCACATTCTTTAGCTGAGAGCCAAGAATTTAAGCAAAATTTATTCATGGACACTTAAGACCCCGTATTTCACATGCCCCTGTTTTGCATTGGCTTCAGTGGCTCCTTCTTGGGTTTTTGAGCTCCGCAAAGGACAATAGACCTAAATTGATGGGGAAAAAAAAGAAACAATATTGTAAAGGGAAGTGAATTTATCAGTATTCCTTGAGTGATAGGAATTAATTCATTAATTTCTCTGATCTTCATACTGCTTGGCTTTTACTGTGTTAAAGCTGCTGTGTGTAATATATCCCATATGTGCTCCAGACTGTCATGTAATTGCCTGTTTATCATCATGCAGACAACACTATAGAAGGTAACTCTTTTAGCACTGATTGTTGTGTCTAGTGGCAAGCACACTTCCACAGATCTGAATTTCCAGTGGTGCCTTGTGATAAGTCTGTGTCCTTAAGACTTGCCTAGCCAAGAACGTGAGCTCTAAATCTTGCAAGAACAAGCTCACTGCAAAGCACCCAGGCTTTGCTGCCCAGAAATGAGTGTCTGAAGACTAAAGCTTCCGCCCGCAGACGTGCCGAAGCGGCTCCCTAGGTAACCCCTGGAGTGGGATCTGTAGAACTGAGAGCAGAGATGCGCACCAGACCCCACAGCTGGTGTGAGTTGCCCAGGTCTGTTAACAGCGGGGCCGAGGGGATTTACACCCGCTTCACGCCTGGGGGGATTTGGAAGCCAGAGTGCCTGTGCGGGACGGCGCGGAGCGCGGGCGGCAGGGAAGGAGCCGCGCGGCCTGAGAAGGCCCAGAGAAGCGCGACTTGCCAGAGGAGGGGCTGCTGCATAGCCAGGAACCAGCTGCTCTCCGGGCCTGTCCCGAGGCTTTGACACTCCTGTCTTTGGGATTCACAGCTTCTGTTGCACTGTCCCCTGGCAGGAGATGGAAGGGAGGTGGCAGTAGTAGCATTATGAAGAGCGGGCACCTTCATCTGGTGGCCAGTCCTAATTTCAGAGATTCAAACATCAGAATCTAGATTTGTTTGAGACTTGTGGATTTGGCAGATAAGTTGATACGGAAAATTGTAGAGGAAAAGAAAATGTGAAAAGCAGCTGAGGAAGCCAAGGCTGATGACATGCTGTGCATTATTTTATGTTGCTGGTAGAGTTTTGCTTTAATTATTTCCTTTAGCTGTTTTCTTGGCTGCTCCTTCAGCTTGTTGAAGGCCCAATGGATCAATGAAGGGCTTGAAGAGGCGCTGCCCAGGTTTCCAGTTCATCCCATTCAACTCTTGCAGTGTTTGGATACTGAGGAATGATAGGATGTTTGTCACATTGCTACCCCCATGCAAGCCATTCTCATTTGCTACTATCTGCTTGTGAGGATTATCAAAAGGGTAGAAATAATCCAAAAGAAACCTTAGTGAAGCAAATAAAAACACCAAAGAGAATACAGAATAAATGTCTAAACCTGAAAAGGGGGATTTGTCCATCATTGGCATTTTATCTGGGCAATTTGCGTCTGGAAACTCCTCTGCAGCTACATCAGCACCACAGGGGTTTGTAAGTGGCTCGAGGCAGTGCTTGTCCTTGGGCTGCTCCTCCAGCAGTGCAGGGCAGCCTAGGCGAGGAGCTGGGCGCTAAAGCAGCCTTCGTAACGCCCTCGCCTAAAGGTGGGTGCAGTTTGCTAGTTTGTACAGATGCCTGAGCAAACACTTCATGATGGTCACACTGCTTTACTGAGTGCCTTTCCTCGAGAGCTCTTGGGAATTTGCAAGCACTTGCTTTGCTTCTGGTTGTCCAGCAGAATTCCTCGCAGTGACTATGATTCAGAGGCTAGCGCCTTAATATGACTGAGAAACAGCTATTGGGAAAGTCCCTGTAATATAAGTAAGAATGCAATAAGTACCTCAAGGGAGGCAGTGAGGAGGATGGTGCTGGCCTCTTTTCACTGGTGGTCACTGACAGAACTAGGGGAAATGGCTGGAAACTGAAGCACCAAAAGTTCCACAGGAACTTAAGGAAAAATTTCTTAACAGTGAGGGTGCCAGAGCACTGGAACAGGCTGCCCAGAGAGGTTGTGGAGTCTCCTTCTCTGGAGATCTTCAAAACCCGCTTGGACGCAGTCCTGTGCCACGTGCTCTAGGTGACCCTGCGTGTGCAGGGGGTTTGGACTAGATGATCTCTAGAGGTCCCTTCCAACCTTCAGCATTCTGTGATTCGATGATTCTAGGTCCTTCTGATTCAGGCAGTGCAATGTTTTAATTGCAGTGTTTAGATGAGTTAAATTATGGTGAAAAACGAAGCTCAAGGATGCCTTTGCTCTTGAAGGTCAGAAGTTCAACAGCAGAAGCATGCAGTGCTTGTTTTTTTCTAAGTTTTCCCCACTTGTGCTGGTCTTTGCAAACTAGTATTGCCATGTGCAAACCTGAGAGGTACAACGTTCTCAGGGCTTAAATTATTTTATCCAGCCTCTTTCACAGGGGTCCTTTTCGGATATCACTTCAGGTGGGTAACTTTAATGTTTAATGTTGCAATAAACCTGTAGCCCAGCATGGGTTTTGGAGTGTGCGTTAGCACCTGGCCGCACACAAGGCAAAAGGATTGGTAGAAGCAGATCGGTAGCAGCACCTTGCAAATCCCTTGTTTCCTACCCAAGAAGGTACTCAAGGTTACCAGAATGCCAGAGGAGTTGTGACTACTAAATATGGCTTGGCCCTTGCTACTGGGAGACCATCTGGGCAGCACTTTGTAACGTGTAACCCGTGCTGTTTGCTTGCAGGCGCTCGTGTCAACGCCAAGGACAACATGTGGCTGACCCCTCTTCATCGAGCTGTCGCTTCAAGGAGCGAAGTGAGTAAACAGCAAGTGCCCTGCTATTGCAAACAGACAACATGTTGGGTAAAAAAATCCCAAAGCATTTAAAAGGAGAGGAGGTCTCGTGCTGATGTAAAGAGGGGATGAGTGCTGCGGGCACAGGGCCTTCAGCAGGCCGAGAAGGGCCAGCCTTTAGCAGTCAGGGGCAGCTCTTGGCTGCAGCGTGTGCGTTCGCTGCTGACTTGTGCAATGTTTACTGTACTCCAGTAAGTCACACTGAGCAGCCATCAGGAGCAAGCAACCCCAGCTGGAATGGAGTGATCTGTATCAGGCTGGCCACATCATCCTCAAGCCATAAAAGAAGGAGCACTGTATCCAAAGGGACATTGTGCACCAGGAGGGAGCGGATGTGTGCGTGATCCAGCACATATATTGCATAGTTTGTTGTGCCACTCTGCATTTCAAGGCATCCATTAAGTTTCCTATTAGTTCTTTTGATTAATGCATGAAGAGGGTTTGCCTGCATTTCTTCTACCTGGCAACCCAGAATATTATGGCATTATCTTGGGCTTTCCCCCTTATTTTCTTATGGAGAAGCATCTATTGTGAACATCACCCAGGCGTGACTGAAATTACCACACCATAATTTTCTGGCTTTCCATTTCTGGGCCTTCTGGTACACTTTTACCCTGCTAACACACTGCTGACACAGTGAACCCAACTGCAGGTCGAGGGGGTGGTCAGATGTGTGGAGGAGACAGCGGGTGGCCATCATCCGACAGCAGCCTGGGCACCTTCCTGAGCCCAGGCCCTGCTTCCCTGCTGCCTGGGATTCCCAGCTGCTGCTGGCATCCACTGAAACCCTCAGAAAGGGACACCTGAGAGAATGCAAATGCTGCAGTGAGATAAAATGCAAAAAAAACCCACGTTGGAAAACAAAACTCGAGCTTAAATCTTATATAAGAATTGCAACATATTTGGTTCTTTTTTGGATGTGTTGGAGTACATGACCTTAATTTTAAGGGACAATCCTAACTGAAAAGGTGTGACTTTCCATGGTTTGGTGTCCAGCCTTTAACTCTTGTGCTGCTGAAACCCAGCTTCACAATGAGAAGTTGTCTCCTGTTGTGCTGGCAGTTCTGGTCCCTCATAAAATAAGTGACGTTACAGAGCAGGCTTTGATGCTATTTCCTGGGCAGTTATATAGTTTATAAATATATATATATATTTATATACATGTCTTCTTCCTTCTTTTCCTTTTTCTTACTTATTTGATTTGATTTTCTGAGTGAAGAGATTTCACATATGGAAACTTGGGATAGATAGAAATACTGGATATATTAATAGTACCTATGTGTTGCATGCAGATGTGGAAATTATGTAAATAAAAGGGCCTATCTCATGCTCCCACAAGCCAGAAAATTAAAACTTCTTCTCATAGAGGTTGATATTTTGGCCTCAAGCCTGGCAGAGCAACAGATTTGCAGATGTGAATAAAAAGGTGCAAATGCTTTAAAAAAAATGACAAATTATCATCTCTGATTTTTCAATTTTTACTATTTATGCTTAAAAATCCTCCTCTAACTTCTTTTCTTTCTTCCCCAAGAGTCGAAATGCTTGAATTTTCCCACTGACTTCATGTAGGATTGTGATCCTAGTTGGGAAGGTCCCAACTATAATGTCCCCTGTGAGGGACACAGGTCCCCTGTGAATGACCTTTAGTGACTTTTAAAATAAATGGCCTGTGAATGCAAAATGCTCGTGCTGAGACCTCGACAGTGACGTATCGCTGTGGGTGCTTTAGGCCCAGCGGTCTCGCTAGCAGTGCAGAGCTGCTAGAGGCCGGGCTGTGGCGTGGCCGTAGGAGAGGGAATTGCTGGGATCGGTTGAGGACGAAGGCCTGAAGCTGCTCGGGGCGGCTGCGCTGCTGCCAGGGCTGCGGGCGCGCTCCCAGCCCCTGCTGCATACAAAGTGCTGTCCATACACACATATGATGTGTGTGTTACTCGTTAAAAATCCTCAGCTGGACTTACTAGAAAGCACTTCAGATGATGGAAAGAGAGCAAGATCCTACTCAGGACTAGAGCGCGCTCCCACTTAGCAGCTTAAGGGCAGGTGCCTGAGCTGGAGCCGAGAAGAGCTGATTGCAAATGCTCGAGTGAGGGGGTCTCAAGAGAGAGCGGGACATTGTCTCACTGGGAAATACTTGGTTCTAAACAACAAAATTAACCTTAAAACCATCAGAATTAACCTTAAAAGCTGTTTATTCTCAGGCTGACAGAATGGATGTGGCAGGGAAGCCCCTTGGCCTGTGCTCAGCCCTGGGGAGGGAGTGGGGGACACCAGCACTGACCCCTCCCTGGGGTCCTCACGTTGTTGCAAACCTCATTTTTTGTGCTCATATATATATATATTTTCGTTTTTCCTGTTTATAAATAAAACTTACAGCAATCCACTGCAACTTCCTTATGCAAAATAGCATGCTGTTCATTTTGTAAATAATTTTTATAACTTACAATTTTTATAAACTTGAATAAATAATTTTTTCAAGTAGAGCTTAGTTATCTTAGTTGTGATACTGAACGTTAACCAACAGAACAGGCTGGGATATCTCAAAATGGGTGGTTTTCTATGTCCAAAAATCAAACTGGGAGATTTTGATTGTGAGGACACAGATCTAAGTGATAGCAAAGGCAATGTGTATGGAGGCATTTGAGTCACCAGGGCCGTTTCGCTAAGCTGGGAGGTTGTTCAGATAAATTAGTTTTTCCCTTTTTCCCGGCCACGTGTGATCCATAGGTGAAAGTAGCGCGGTTGCGAAGAGGGGCCCTGCGGCAGCTCCAGGTTCCTGTTTAAGGGGGGGACTGCGTTGCCGTTGCAGGAGGCCGTGCAGGTGCTGATCAAGCACTCGGCTGACGTCAACGCTCGGGACAAGAACTGGCAGACGCCGCTGCACGTGGCGGCCGCCAACAAGGCGGTGAGGTGCGCCGAGGTCCTCATTCCCATGCTGAGCAGCGTCAACGTCTCCGACCGCGGCGGGCGCACGGCCTTGCACCACGCCGCTCTCAACGGCCACATCGAGGTAAGCTGCTTCGTGGCATGAAGAGAGGCTGTGGAGGCTCCTTCTCTGGAGATCCTCAAAGCCGTGCCCTGGGTGTCCCTGCTGGAGCAGGGGTTGGACTGGATGATCTCTAGAGGCCCGTTCTTTGATTCTATGAGTCTGTGGAAAACTAAAGGATAAATTGCACACTGAAGAAGCATACAGCTGTGTGACACCCAGTCAATCTGCTTTTCTCATCAGTTATCTTGAAAATGTGCATCTGGTTTTAAGATTATACATGCTGCCTTTGGACACCTAATGAAAGTGAAACCTTCTAGTCTAATTACTGCTTCTATATAAAAACTGCAGTTTTTTACTTACATGAAAGTGCACAAACCTCCAAGCATGGAATAGAAAAAAATCAACTGGAACAGTAGGATTCTGTCAATAGCGAGGCATCAAAAGGAGGTTGATTGTACTGGAATCAAAAGAAGGAAGCAGAAAGGTAGTTCCTGTGAAATGGTGGTCATATTTGGAAAAACAAGGTGGTCTAACCATCATAAATTAAACTTTCTGTTACCAACTGCTGTTATTAGCTGATCCTTTACAATGGAGTGCATTAGAGGACGTCAATTATGCAGCTCTAATTTATGTTTTGAGAATATTTTGCAGGAAAAGAAAGTCACTGAATGCGTTTTCCATTCAGTCTTCATTCTTCTCATGTTTAATATTGGATGGTTGCCAATAGGGAAAGCAGCTTTTCATCATTTAGCCATGGAGTGTAAAATTCCAGCTCCCTGTCTGAAGCAGCCTGGTTTCTGTCTGCGTGGTCGCGAGCGAGCAGCCGAAAGGCCTGGCCACCCCTCAGAGCAGCGTGGCAGGGAATAGATGCTGCTTGTTGAACGCTCTGCCTTTTATTTAGGGTTTGCTTCTATGTGCGGAGGAATCCTGAACTAATCTGTAAGAAAATACCTTAAATGTGGCCTTAGCTCTGCGCAATAGTTCTCTTAATTTCGTAATTTACAAATGCATCATCCAAAAGTAAGGAACTGCGACCCCAACTTTATGGCTAAAATTTTACTAGGATTATTTGTTGTAAACTCTTCAATGTCTGATCTACAGGATTCGTTTACCTGATGTCGTTTCTTTTAGATGGTAAACTTGCTCTTAGCCAAAGGGGCAAACATCAACGCTTTTGACAAAAAGGACAGAAGAGCTCTTCACTGGGCAGCGTACATGGGTAAGCCGTGGGTTGTTGCCATTTTTTTTTTAGTTTGCTGTTGTCAGGCTGCCCGTGTGTTTTGGAATGGGCAACATGCAGAACTCGCCCTGAAAAGAGAGCATGGTGCTTACCCCGACCGTGGAAAGGGATCAGCTGGGCCAGGCAGAGAGTGTCCGTTCATGGTTTTGCAGCTAGTGAGAGCTCGTCTCAGTTGGCCTTTTAATGCAACTCTTGCATTAAAAGATCCTTTAGATCTTTTTGATCTTTCTCTCCTGACTTGAGTGCATTTTGAGTTGAGAAAATACAGGTTATTTTGTTAGTTTTTGCTGAGAACTACATTAGGTGAAATGCAGATATATACGATCATATTTTTTGCTGCTGTTCCTCGTTTAAAATGGCTAAGCTATGATGTTGTTAGAAAGTAGCTCATAGCCTTTCCTTCTGTCCAATGCAAATTGTCACCTTTCAAACTGGGCAAGAGCAACTGATTCAACAATTCAGAATATCAGTGGTGTTATCGAGTACTTCTTTAGAAAAATCAATTTACCTTATAGTTTCATTCAATTTACAGGTATGATTTGTTGTAGTGGCACACTGTAATTTAAAAATGTTAGAATTACGTTTCTGGTGATATTGATCGTTGTTATTTAAGATCTTTCAGGCTGGCCTTGCAAGGTATTCCAAATTACAATATATAGTGTCTTTCCCAAGAAGTCTTTCACCCAATCATTCAAATTCCTAATTTTAATCCTATCCCTTCTGGAAGTGGCAAAATGGAAAAATTTGTTCCATCGTTTTTGTTTTGTTTTGTTTTTGTTTTGTTACGCGCCAGCAGATGGAAAGACTCTTGCAACAGTTGTGATTTGGCTTTTGAGCTAGTGTGCTTTGAACTCTGCTCGAGAGAGGTGAGAGGCTTTTAGACTGCACCATGCAATTCCACATCTCTTTTTTTCCTCTTAAATCTTTCACAAAATCATATTTCACTTATCAAAATATTTAAGTAAGTTCAAAGGCCTGAACTCAAAAGTTATTTAGGAGTCTGTAGTGGAATTTGGACAGAACTTAGATAATGAGGTTGAAGCATCTCATCCTACGAGCCCTCAGGTATTGGCCTGATACTTTAAAATCAGGAGGCGTAAGGCCTATCCCTCTGCTTTGCTTTGCTTTAGTTTTGATGGTTAGGGACCTCTTGGAAAGTTTTGATACCTTCAGAGAGGAGAGGCAAGTAAAGCAAGAGCTGGCTTAGAAGCTGTGTTTTGAAATGCTCAGCGCTCTCCCTCCTTGTTTTATAGAGAGCCTAATTCAGGGGTTTTGCTCCTGAAGACAGATGTTCTGTGAGTCTGGTGGTCAGCTCTCTGTGCGGGTGCCTCTTGAAACTCTTATGATTATTTTAGTCTGCAGACTAAATCTATACAACAGGTTCATATTCAAACATTTCTAGATGATCGTTTTTGCACAATTTTATGTTAATGATAAAGTTCTGGAGGGACACAAACTTGATCCAGAAATCAGTGGATTCAGTGGAAAATCCCGTGTTGATTTCGGTAGGCTTTGGATCCAATTCTTCACTCATTTGATGTTTAGTTTTTTGTCCTCGATGCTAGTGAAAAACCTTTAACTTATCATTGATTAAATAAAATATGTGTATGCTGAAGGAAAAACTGAGTGTTAACAGTTGGGTCTACAGATGACGTCAACAGGGCTCTTTTTGGGGAGATTTATTCTGGCATGTTCCTGTGCTCACTGTTCTTTCTGCAAAAGGGAGAATAAAACGTAAACTTCAGAGAGAGAGGGGTGGCTCTGCTACTTTTTAATAACTGGAAGACTAATAGACTAAGGGGAAATTAGACAGATATGATGAAGATAAGTATGCTTGGCTTTCTTGACAATGCACAGAGCTTGGATTAAAAACATTTATTATTTCCTTTAAACTCAGCGAAATGGCAGTAAAAAGGCAGAGTGATAGCAAGAAAGTTGTAACTCAGGGGAAGTGATGCAGTGCGATGGTGCATTCCTTGATTGCTCTCTCTCGTCTTTTGAAGGTCACCTGGAAGTTGTTGCCTTACTGATCAACCATGGTGCAGAGGTGACTTGTAAGGACAAGAAGGGTTACACTCCGCTTCATGCAGCTGCATCCAATGGGCAGATTAATGTTGTAAAACATCTCCTTAATCTGGGTGTAGAGGTACATCGTGTTTTGCTGTTTCTATGGCTTCTATGTTTCTCCTTATACTTCCTCTTTTCTTTCCATACGGACACTGCGACAGACACTCGCAGTTTCTAAAGAAAATAGTTCCCACGTTGTAGACCATGAAAAGTGTCTTGCGCTTCACCTAGGTTCTCGGTTCAAGTGCCAGGAGATGACGTGTTCTGGACTCAAAATGTCTGATATGGACTGTAAATTCCAGACAAGCTTGCTGAGGAAAAGAGAGAACATGTGCTGTTCCTGCAGGAGAAAAACAGGATGATGAAGTCTGCTCTTGCTCAGAATTTCCTTTGGTACCATGGGAGGTTGTTCACAGTAATATGCACTGAGTATTTACTCTGTTGCAATTCGGGCATTTTTAAGTTTAGGGACCTGTATTTGCTCTGCAGTTGATAGAGGGAAACAAAAAAAATATATTTTCACCGTGGAAAAGATCTTTTTTCAGGGCACAGGCTTTTCTTAGCCTGGTATTGTCAAGCCAGATATCCAGAAGAGTCTGTAGTGGTTCTGCAGGGATGTCAACTATGCTGCGTTTGCAGTGATGCTTCACATATCCTGCCAGCTTCTAGCCAGTAGATTTGACATGCCAAGAGAAAGGAAAGGTTTGTGTTTGCAAGCTGTCAGCTGCCAAGTAGAGACTGATAGATGTGTCATGTCATTAGCAGGACCGTGCTAATAACTACCTTTAACTTTGACATTCTCCACCACGAGGAATATGATCTTTTTAGACGCGTAGAATTTGTGGAGAAATATTCAAATCAACCTTGACTCTATGTACAACCTGTCTCACCTTATTTTACAGAAGAGCAGATGAATCCTAAGCCAGTCATTAAGAAATAGCATCATCTTAATTGTATCTTTATAACACCACAGCTATTAAAAGTGAGGTGTACTTACTGAAGTGTAATTGCTCCTTCCCATTACTCAGACACCTTCACTCTCTTCCCAAGAGAAATCTGTAAAAAATCTTAAGCCTGATTCCTTTCGCAAAAATTCAATAGAACTAATTATTTTTAAAAGATTTTGGGATAATTATGTATCCTGCTTTCCCCTTAAATGTTGAAGCTTTCTACCTTAAGACTAGTACTTTCATCATCAGCTAGTCCTGCTGTCAGTTTTAGGCTTTAAGTTGGCTTTTTAAAATTGCCAGCGGGGCAAAAAATTAATAATAGTTAATGTAGAGTATTCAGAACTGAACTCTCTGGTTGTATGTTTTTGTCAATGAAATCTGCTGCTGAACAGTATTCCCTCTGCCAGCTCAAGCCTCCAGCTATTTCTGTTCCATTTACAGTGTGTGGTGCAGTATGTAAAGCAGTAAACTGATACCTGTAACTTCAGCTGTGTATCCTTGTTTCCTTTTAGATCGATGAAATGAACATCTATGGAAACACTGCACTTCACATTGCCTGTTACAATGGTCAGGACTCTGTCGTTAATGAGCTGATTGACTATGGTGCTAATGTAAACCAGCCTAATAATAATGGATTCACTCCCTTGCATTTTGCTGCTGCCTCCACGCACGGAGCACTGTGTCTCGAACTGCTGGTGAATAACGGGGCAGACGTAAACATTCAGGTAAAACTTGCATTTCAGCTCTTCAGTTCTATTTCATCCTGTTTTGTATATGTCAAGAATCTGGAAACTGTAGTAATGAGGTACAGCATGACTTTAAGCCCTTCTTGGGAGGTACTGATTGATGGAAGAAGAGTGATGCTGAGAATATTAACTGTTAAACTGTTTGGATAAGATCAATTAACAACAGAGAAACTCTCAGTGCCTTGGTGGTATAATGACAGCCTTAAAGTCTAGGCCAGCCACTTTCTGAACCACTGTTAGAAGAGAACCCTGGGAGCTTTGTCAAAATTTTATCTCAGGGAGCAGGTAAACAAGGAACTATTCCTTTTGGGTGTTTGCTTCTGCCCGGCAATACACATTTAATTAAACTTGAGTCTAGCAGATTCCTCTTGAGGAAGTAAGAACTCAAGCTTTTTTTGTTGACATTTTCTTTGAGAAACTTGTTGATTTTAGGATATCTGGGTGCTCTTAGGATATAATTGATGAAGCTGAAAGGGAGCTGTTTTTATCCAGCAGAGAATATACTGGTGTAGGTATTGGACAACTTAGGATCTCTGAGTTGGTGTAAGATTTTGGCCGTTCTACTTTGAAGTCTGCGTGTCTCAGTATCCTGTCTATAAAACTGGTCTCCGAGCTTTTAACCTATGGTAAGACCCTTGAGATCAGTGGGTAGCCACTGCGCTACTGTAAATGCACAATTATTAAACTGACGTTAGGAATTGCACTCGCCAGTGAACATGAAACTCCATTCCAGTGAGCATGACGTTGCAAAGTAGGTCACCTCACCCTTGCTATTTTCTCAGCTCCGTGGCTTCTCCAAGCTCAGTTTCTTTCTCAAGACCACAAAACCCTGTTCTTCTGTTGTCGCACCTTTACTTCCTTGTGCCTTACCTGTTTTCTAAACATCTTCTCCTTAAGCATCCTGGTTTTCTTTAGGTAGAAATTTATTAACCGAAAGTTTTTAATATAGTAGCTTGTATTCCAGGATGTATCTGTGAAATGCAAATATATAGGTTCTATCTCTTGAATCTCAGAAACTGCTGCAACTTAGCTTTGTCCTTGCTTTTCTTTATTCCTCTTCATGCAATGAGTAGGGAAAATAATGACTAATGGGAGATGTTATTTAAAAATAGTACCAAAGAACAGTACATCATCTATTGCTAGGCTTCTACCAGACATTGTGTACAAGCCACCAGGCTCTGAGGATAAGCTTGTCTGCAGACTATTTCTAGCTCATGGCTAAAGAAGCCGTTACACTTGTGTGCTTCTACCTTCTGCATTCATTATCGTGACCAGGGTCAATCCTACAGCCTCTGAAGCAAGCAGAGGTTTTATCAGGAGACTGGCTGTAAGATATTGAGCAGCTTTTACTGCTATGAGATTTCGAGTTGTTCCCGTTACTGTGTGTGCTTAAATGTTTGGTTTGGTTTTGTTTCTGTTAGAGTAAGGACGGGAAGAGTCCACTGCACATGACAGCCGTGCACGGGCGGTTCACGCGCTCCCAGACCCTCATCCAGAACGGTGAGTCCAGCGGCCGCATCCAGGAAGGGCTGGAAGAGCAGGCGCTGGTGCAGCGGGGTCTAGCGGCTCCACGCAAGCGCAGCCAAGCGCTCCGCTTGGCACCCTCTCAAATTCTGCCCTCTTGTGCCGCTGTCTTGTCAAAGACAAAATCCTGTGTTCCTCCAGCTGGCAGTGGTCCATGCAGTCTTTTGTGATCCTTCACCTGACAACAAGATTTGAAAGCTGTGTTTAGGGATTTTAGCAGCTTAGAAGGCACAACTTTCCCATATGACAGAAAAAAAAAAAAAAAAACAGGCATCTTCTGATTGTCTGTCCTTCCTTGGGAGTCAGAGCTCAGAGTCACAACTCCCTCAAGTCAGAGCCCAGGCCATTTTGCCTACCCCTCTGCACAGTGGCTGCACTTACCTTGCCTCCCAGAGCTTCACAGCCTAGCAAACCTTCCCGCTACCTTTGGAATAAATACTCTGGAGGATGGACCAGTGCCACCTGGTTTGTGCTAGAAAGTAAGTAAGTAAGAAGTAAAGTAAGTAAAGAAGTAAGTAAGTAATCAGAAAAATAAGAAAATAAAAAGTAATAGAAAAAATGGGGAAAAAAAAGGACGTGCAGTAACCCAGAATAGAATCTAGGGATTCCTGATTATGAGTCCTCTTAGTTAAATATTAGATTTGTCCAAGAATACTACAGAACATGATAAATGTTAGAACTGGAAATAGTAGTAATAAAAGGAGCTGGGGGCAAGCTGAAAGAAGTAGTAATGCAGTTTTTAGTTGTTTACTAAGTTACGCTCTCTAACTTACAGCTATTGTTTGCTCTGTGTGGGGTCTGTGTATGGAAGTGTTGGCAACTCTGCCGCTGTTCCTTCACAGGAAGGAAGAGGAGAAGTCCCTTTTACTCTTAGGCAACTGTCAGCAATATCATAAAGAATAAACTGAATAATTGACCTAACCTTTTGAGGTCACTTCTTACCCTTTTTCTGTACTGTGGAGGAATCAATGGGTTCCTAACAGAGTGGTGCAAATGCTGCCTTCCATCCAGGACTGAGCTCAGCTTGGCAAGGGCTGAGAGGAGGCACCAAAACAAGGGCAACTCAGCGCTGCTCCCGGCAGCTGCTTCTGGCTGCTGTCAGACACAGGAATCGGGGCTGTAATGGGCCTGTTTGGGTTGTTCTTCTGTAACACGCAGGGAAGGCCCCCACAGTGCTTGCTCTTTGCAGCGTGGGCCTTCTGGGTGAATTCCCTTTAGCATCGTTGCCATGTAGGTAGAGTTGAGTAGCAACCACTTAAAGAACGATGGCAGCACCTCAGCAATTTATTTTTGTAGTTTAATTCAAGGCAATCGTTTGTACCTTTAGCTGAGCTGCAAGTCCAAATTGTTATTTGCCACCGTACGTTGTTCTGTGCAGTGTTGATGAAAAGTGATGTCAAATACAGCGGTGAAACTGGAAAGAATTGGAGGTGAAAATGCTGCTGCCACATGATGCTTGGTAACTGGCTGGCAGCTTGCTGAGTGCGGGTACTTGCTCTTTGAAAATGAGTGTCTCTGTGGCTGGACGGGTTATGCTGCTTTAGGAGAGAGAGGACATTTGTAGTCACTAGTTCACACCTAATCTGACTGTCAAACTGTATGAAAACATCTTTTGCAGGAGGTGAGATTGACTGTGTTGATAAGGATGGTAACACCCCTCTGCATGTGGCTGCACGATATGGACATGAGCTTCTGATTAACACCCTCATAACCAGCGGAGCTGATACTGCCAAGTAGGTTGCTGCAGCTGAGCTGTTTCTAGTTATCAAGTGCTATGTCCAGTGCCAGGAAGCACAGGTTCTCCTCAGGTTAAAACAGATAAACATAATTACACTCCACTTCAGTGGGTGACTGAAACATGAACACTTGAGAATACAGAGGGAAGGAAGCGCTGCCAAGCCGTGAGGTGGTCAGCAGTGCCAGAGCCCTTTCTTCTTCCTCAAGTACTTCACCAGTGGTGTTTGAGAGGCTCTGTACCAAACACCTCTTCTCAGAAAAGAGTGGGAAAAAAAATCAAAAACCAACCAAGGGAATTATGTATATATTCCTTACTATCTAGGTTAGCCTAACTTTCAGTGACATGCCATACTCAGTGACTATGCCTTGTGTTGTTTTGATATTACACAGAAAAATCAATATCATTAGATGTTATCAATTATCTAATCAATTCATTATATCAATTATATCAATTATCATTAGATATTATCAATTATCTAATCAGTTCATTATAACAATAATATCAATTACATCAAATGTCATTATCAATAGAAATGCAATCGTGCAAAGCAGCTGTTGAAAAATATTTTTGAGGTCACTCTAACTGTAGAACTTGCCTTGATGTTTCATGGTTTGAGATCTTCAGACAGCTGAAATACGGCTCAAGATGGTTGGAGCAGTCAGACGGACTGCTCCATCTGATTAGTGGATTTAGGGGCCCTTTTATGAAGAGGAACAAGAAGTGGAAATCAGACACTAATTTCAAAATGTCATTAACCTCTTGGCTTCAGTTCGGGTTACTGTTTTTTTTTTTTTTCTCTCTCACATATATATATGGACTGAAACAGTGGGAGATACTTGATTTGGAAGAGTAGTTGAGTATTCATTACTCTTATGATCCGATGATAGTTCAGTAGTAGTAGTAGTAGTAGTAGTAACAGAGTAGTATATATTCAAAGCAGACAGGGGCAACTTAAAAACTCGATTTGGGAAAGATTAAAATGGTCTGTCAAAATAAAAAAAGATAAACCTGCAGGTAAACATACAGGTATAAGACCAAAGTAGTGTCATGCCATGAGAGATACCTCTACCAGGTGTGTAATAGCAGCATCTTATTCCTAAATATGAATTTTCTGCAGTTAAGCACATGTCTCCAGGGTATAACTTAAGAGGGTTTTCTGCCTACAACTTGGAAATCAGTGACTACTTGCTGACTTACCTGATTAGGAAAACCTGCTCCCACATATTTTCATTTCGATTAATTTTGGTTTTGAAAATACTTGCAGCTCTCAGGGTGTTGTTTCCTTGAGGGTATTTTAAAAAGTGACACTTTTGTCTGTATTACTGTATTATAATGACTGTCACCGAGCAAATTCAAGAGGTAGAACAGATGTTCAGTAGGCACAGGTAATATGTCAGTACCCAATGATGTTAGCTGAGGCCTATAGAATTTCATTCACATTAAGATTTTACTATCTAAATGAATGTATATTTTTCTTAGCTATTTCTCCAGTACAGCAGGGCTCATTCTGTCTCTTGAAGTTCATGGTGAAATGAGCAGCAGTGGGATAACTCTCTCTTGGACTCAAGGTTATTCAGTTAGAGACTTCTATTTCACACTTGGGTGACTGGAATATTGTTCAACAAACAAGCAAACAAACAAAAAACAACAAAAAGCTCCCTTTTTCCAGCAGCAGATTTCTGTGAAGTGAGAAGTCAGCACTGAGATACCAGGCAGATGCAAGTGATGCTACTGTTCTAAACAAGGCGGACTGGAGTAACAGGAATGAGCTTTCATATGTGTCCCCTGAATTGGCTTTGAAGGAGAAAACTATACAGTGTTGCTAGAAGTAGCTGCCTACAGCTCAGTCAATCTTGGAAGCAATTGCTTTTCAAGGAAAAAAATATGTAGGCGGTGGGAGGAACTAGTGTGAACAGTGCTACAGAAGTGTGACACTCGTTAGTAGATGTGCAGATAGTACATTTTTACAGAAACCAGCCAAAACATATGCTGGGTGGAAATCTTGACTTAACAGGAAAAAAAAATGCTTGAAATAACTAGATGGAGGAGGAGATGAAGGAAAATGGCATAGCAATATAGAATAGCATAGCATATCCAATGGCAGCTGAAATGAATCCACAGCGAAAAAATGCAACCTCTTTGGATAGATGCAGCAGCGTAGAGCTTATGCTGTTTCGTTACAAAAACAGACTATCAGATAATCTTTCAATAGCTTTGCTCCAAGGAAAACATAGATACTGACACTGGCAAAACTAAAATTCACACAGTCCCGCACCAAACTGCTTTGTGTAGCAGAGTGAAGCAGCAAGAATGATGACTTCAATGTGTAAGTGAAGGGTAGAACTGTGGATTCTGGAAAAAAAATGTTGTCTAAAAATAAACCAAAATCGGTGAAATACATATATAATATAAAACACATGCAGTGTGTTGGAGAGAGCAGTATATCTTTATAAGCATCCACGTTTTCTTTTTTTGGGCTAAAGCTCCATAAGTCATCATGATTCATGATGAACCTTTCATAAAAACAAGTTCTTACCTCTTTGGATCTGAAATTCTCTTCCATGCAGTGATCATGCTCTTCCATCCGTAAGTCGTCTCGCAGATATGAATCCATCTGCTTTGTCCAAGAGTTTGTCATTTAAAAAAAAATACATTTGCTGAAGCAGCAGTAGATGCTAATCTTGTGGAGAAAGCTGGTTTCAGCACTTCATGTTTATGTGCGCCTGGAGAACTGCCCATAGAATAGTATTTCTAGTATAACAAGACACTTGTTACAAAACAATAGCAAATGGCAGAGGTCAAGATGTCCAAAACTAGAGGTCTTCCAAGAGCTCAAACCAGCAGCACACTTGCTGACTGAAATGGGATGATTTGCTGCTTTAGTAAAAGTATGTTCAGTATGTGTATATGTTTATGCATTGCATGTGCTAAGCATAAAACATATTTAAGGTAAAGTCATAGGTATTTTGGCTAGGACTGGGTGTGGGAAGGATGGACTAGTTGCATGATGTGCAAATGTGGCAGGAAGAAGTTGTCACAGAGAGCTTCTGTGCGCTGGGCTTGCATGGGATGGGGACCTTTAGGAGCCTGTGTAATGAGCCCGTTGTGCCTTTTCAGGTGTGGGATCCACAACATGTTCCCTTTACACTTAGCAGCACTTAATGCTCACTCAGACTGCTGCAGGAAATTGCTGTCATCGGGTAAGTGACTCTGGCCGTGTCTGTGGAGCTTGAGCAATGTGAGTGTGTGCTGCTTAAGGCCCTTGGTATTCCCTGTTGCGAGCTGTCCGAGTGCAAGGCTTCCGTGCCGCTGCTGGGTGGTGTGGGGTGGCGTCCGCCCCGCGCCGAGCCTTTCCTCGCCTCCCGGGGCCCTGCGGCCCTTTCCCCTGGCTCTCGCAGAGAGGTTGTGCACGGTCACCAGCAAGCGGGCGGAAATCGAGGACCCTTCTCCCTTCCGCAGGACTTTCAGGAAATGAGATCCTTGAGGCAGCGGGAGAGCCGGGCGTGAAGAGAGCCAAGGCCACCAGGCTGGGCTCGCTGGCCATGCACGCCGTGGCAGCTCGCCCGGCGCCTTCCTGGGAGCCTCTTCCACACGCAGAAAGGCAGCCCGAGGCGCCCCTCATGCCAGGGATACAGGCAGCCATGTTCGTGCGCAGGCCGGCCTCTTTCCTCACATCCTCTTGTCCTCGTGTCCCGCTGTCACAGGTCTCTCCGTAGGGGTCTCACGCCTGAGCGGCAGGCACATGGTTTCGGCCGGGCGCTTGGCTCAGCAGTAGCTCCATGGCTCCCTTCAGAGGGCTGCCAAGCTGGAGTGGCCGCCGGCTGTGGCCACGGCGACCTCTTTCTGACTGTAGTTGCTTGCGTTCTGTTTTTTCCTGACTAACTGATTTTTCTGTCTCTGCGATGTTTCCTGTGGTTTAACTAGGACAAAAGTATAGCGTAGTGTCCTTGTTTAGTAATGAGCACGTGCTGTCTGCAGGCTTTGCCATAGACACCCCCGACAGCTTCGGGAGAACATGCCTGCACGCCGCCGCCGCCGGAGGGTGAGTACGCGTGCGCGGCGCTCCGCCGCTGCCCTGCTAGCTAGTCTGCGTGGCTGTGCCGTCCACAAAGGAGTTCATTGTGGTGCAAGGGAAGCAAAACAAGTTGCCACAAGTGCTTGAAGTCCCTCTTTTGCCACGGCCCTTGTGCAGGGGGTGTGCACAAGGTTGTCTCTCTGCCCTGTGGTGAAGGAGATAGAGGAGTCCAGGAGGCTAAGTGCAGCTCACCTCCCTCCTTCCTTCCCTCCCATTTTTTGGGCACAGGTTTAAAAGTTTCTAAAAGTGGTTCACCAAACTAGAAAGGTTGTTGTCCTCTTGGAGCAACACGTTACTGATGAGCTGTGTGGGGCCCAGGAACAGGTGAAACCGAAATACTTTTGTTTGTAACTGTAGCATCTGGTAGATTAAATCGTTCCAAGTAATCAGCATTTGCAAAGTTAACCTAACAGGAGGAGAAAATGCTTGGCAAGTACTGAGTTTCGACTCTTCCGTTGAGGGCTTGGTGCTCAGAAGACAGATAAAATGGAGCCTTGGCTGGAATCCACGGTTACAGCAAGCCGAAATGGTCATCCCTAGTGACTGCTTGACAGTTTTTTCTAGAAGTTGTTTTTTGCTCCTTGGGGGACCAAGATGGAGATAACAGAATTTTCGCTGTTACAAGCATCTAATGAAATTGTTCCAAGTGCTGTTTTTCTTGTTCTGGTGGTACTCGAGTCATATTTTTAATAGGGGAGGTATGATTTTTGCTGGAATTGGTATTATTATAGCCTTCAAATACTACTTCTTCCATATGGCCTGACCCCAAAGATTAATTAATGAAATGGAGGCCCAAGAGAGGAGGATAGGCCACATAAGAAGCAAAAAGGGGCTCATGAAAACAAGCCATGTTTTTTTTTCAGTAATTGCAGTACTTTACTACAGTTGTCATCACTAACAAGTGTTTTTATTTTTAGTACACTGTGGTGAACATTTTGTAAATGCTTTATGCAGTAACAGTTTTAGAACAAGGATGAGCATACACCAGCATATTGCGTCCAGTCTTCTTGCTGGAGCTGTAGAAAAACATTACTTTTCTCTCCCTCTCTCCCTTTCTCTCCCTCTCTCCCTTTCTCTCTCTCTCTCCCTTTCTCTCCCTCTCTCCCTCTCTCTTTCTTTCTTTCTCTCCCTCCCTCCCTCTCTTTCCTCCCTCCCTCTCTTTCCTCCCTCCCTCTCTTTCCTCCTTATTTTCCCCCCCCATCTGACACATGCCAGTAACTCCCATTGCATTGATAGGAGTTATATGAGTGTTAGGCAAAGACCTTCGG